TAACATGTATATAGTATTCTCAACTGGACTGGTATGAAAAGTATTATATGTTGGGTAAAGTCTTTTTATAAGCAAAATGATAAATAGTGATTGAATGTGTAAAAATAGTGAGAATAATAATAATCTAGAAAAAAATGATGAAAAGGTATTTGATGATGATGATGTGAATAGTAATGTTTGTCCTGACTGGTAGGCATGGTGTTCCTTCTGGAAAAAAAAATGTAATACAATGTAAAGTTATTCAAGATTCAATGTCATATAAACAAGATTATGATAATAAATAAATAAATAAATATTTTTAAAAATGGAATGATCATGAGAGCCAGGGTATATTTGTCATAATTAAGAGTGCACTTTTTTTTTTTTTTTCCTGGGATTTTGGGCATGCACTCACACAGGCGCCTGGCGTGAGTTTCAAGTCACCAGGTACGGGACTTGAACCATGGTTGACCATGTAGGAGTCCAGCGACATAACCATTATGCCATCTGCCAGTCCCTAAAAGTGCATGTTTCAACTAACGTATAATATATACATAGAAAAGTACACAAATCGTCAGTGTGCAGCTCAATGAATGAACCCAGCTTTGTAACATACCTAGCTCTGAGATGAAACCCAATACTCCAAAATAGTATTCCAGTACCCCAAAAGCCCCTACATGGCCCTTACTTTGGCCAAAAGTAACCAAATAATCTGATTTCTACATCTGTTTCACCAGTTATTTCAGTTTGTTACTGTGTTGTGAACAGAAATACCTGAAGTTGGGAGATTATAAAGAATAGATGTGTATTTGCTCATGATTCTGGGAGTCATGTGGCTGGAGAGCCCAAGAGCATGGGGCTAACTCCTAGCTGGCCTTTGGTCCTATTTCACAGCATGGCCGACAGAGGCAGAAAGGAAGGGAGAGAGACCTGTGGGCAGCCATCTTACTTTTTATAACGATACACCTTGCCAGAACATTTTTGAAAGTGAGCACTTCTCTTGTTCTGCAAGATAGCATTCATCTATTCATGAAGCTGGTACCCCTATGATCCAAACATCACCCACCTGGTTACACCTCCTAAAGGTCTCACCTGTCAACACCATTACATTGGGGACCAAGCTCCCAGCCCATGAACCTTTGGGGGATAAACCATATCCAAAATAGTACCGATTTTTGTACTTCATTTAAATGGAATCCTATAGTATATACTCTTCTGTGTCTAGATTTTTTTAGCTGAATATTGATACTTGGTTGTTAGAAACAAAGTTGCCAAGAGCATTTTTTTCCTTGTCTGTTGGTGGATGGTGCAGGTATTTCTTTTGAATCTATACCTAAATATGGGATTACAAAATCAGAGTAGAAATAGGCTTAGTTTTCATACTGAATATGGATTGTGTCACAGTTTTCTAAGCAGGGGTGGAAAACTGGGGGCAGAGGAAAAGAAGTTTCCTTGAAGAGATGCATAGCAGGTAAATAGGGAAAGGGATATGAGCAGATGAAAATAATACAGAGACCAGCAGTTAGCGTAATGGCTATGTCGCTGGACTCCCACGTAGTCGACTGCGGTTCACGTCCTGGACCCAGTGGCTTAAAATTCACGCAGGGCGCGTGTGTGTGCGTGCGTGCCCAAGATCCCGAGAGGAGAATGGAGGAGAAGGAATTGAGGAGTGACCATCCCCTCTGGGGGGTGATTTCTCGCTTTCTGTCTCTCTGTCTCTCTCTGTCTGTCTGGTGAGTGCACACGCCCTATAGCAAAAACCTCTCCAAAAAAAAAGAAAAGAAAAAAGAAAACAATACGCATTCGCTAGACTGGGAGGCAATGACCATCTGTTGAACTCAACTGAGAGCCAGACGCTCTATTAGGTGCTTGACAGATGCTATGAATTTTGATACTCAAAACATACTTAATGTAGCTATTGTTATCCCCATTTTAACTGATAAGGGAACTGACAAGTTACTTCCCAAGCAAGGAGCACAGTTACTGGATTCTGCTCTTAGCTTGAATTAGCTACAACAGCTCAGGCCCCAAATCATCTGGTAGATGCCTCTTCTTCCAACTGGATAAATGTGGGTTAAGAGCAGCAATTTGAGCAGTAATTTACTTTTGCTGTAATCAGTGACTCTCTGAACCCTGATAGAAAAAGACCATAATGAGGAGGCAGTTGGAGCAGGGGTGGGAGAGGGCACCATCAGGCCACAGGCTGTCGGGGCAATGAGAAAAGAGAAGAGTGTGGGCTCCTGACCGTCCCAGCCAACTGTGTCATTTTGCCTGGGGATCTGGTACTCATTGATTAATCCACACATTCAACAAATCACATTTATTGAAAATCTATTCTGAATCCAACACTGTCTAAGAATATAAGATAAAAGTGTCACATTGCCCAAGATGCTCACAGTCACAGGGTATACAGGACCCAGTGTTATGACAATACACTGCTCGGTGCTGGGACAAGGTCATTCGGTGTTAGGAAGCTAACCTAGCAGTCAAGGGAGGCATCATGGAGGAGGAACTATGTGAGTTAAGTCTGTAAGGATCAGGGGGGTATAATTTACCACTGTAATTGAAAATATTTAGCATGGACATGTGGTGAGTCAATGTATACTACATTCTAGAGAAATAGTCATTGCTCTGATCAGAAATTCATGCTCCTGATCATTGAATTGGAAAGATCTCATTCCAAAGCAGCGGCTCTAGTTTCCTAATCCAGACGAAACCAGATTTATTGGCTAGGCTAGTGAAAGCTAGGAATGGCTTTTCAGAGGGGTGATGATTGGCACCTTTGCATAATGATTGATAGAAATGGCCTTTCATGATTTACATTGCTGTTAACATATGTGAATTCTATACACACTGGGTAAAGTATCTGACAGGCCGTTACTCCTCTATAGCCAAGCAGGAGGATCTGCTGAGGCCTTTAGCCTGTACTCTTGAGTTGATGCCCAAGGCTTGATACCTACACAAGCAGGCTGGAGTACTCTGGCAGCTAATAGCATTAGAAAGCTCACCTGATCCTGCTTCCAGGTATCAGAGTATCTTTGACGTAAATGGCTGTCACGTCATCTAAATAGGCAAAGTCCTGAACTTCAAACTCACAGAACGTATAAATGGTCTTGTGCCTGCTTGCTAAAATGTTTGGTTAAAAAGTATCTCTACATGTGGCAGAACTTCGTCTTGAAAGTTGTTTTCATCATAATAGCAAAGCGAAGAGGGTGGTATTTTGGGGATAATTTCACCTGCCCAAAAAAGATTATGCAAAACCAAATTGGACGAGGTCAGTTTTGCAACAAGGAATTAAGGCGGGTTGCAGAGGCAGAGAGGAGCCCCCTGGACAGGAAGAATACCAGGGACTAATGCACAAATGCTCAGGGAACTGCAGAGAGGTGCTCTGCCTGGGGTGTGGTCACCGCAGGGAGTGACAGGTGGTCCTCCTGAAGAACTTCCGGAGCTCTACTGAGTTTGAATATTGCCCCTCAGTTTAGTGTTGCAGAAACAGAGCACAGGGTCACCTGGACCAGATAATCTGGGCGGGGAGCAGTGCCATCACCTCTGCTTTTGAAAATGAGCGCCCTTGGGACCAGCAGATGGCATAATGCTTATGTTGCTGGACTCCCATGCAGTCGACTGCGGTTTGAATATGGGACCCCATGATTTAAACTCATGCTGGGTGTGTGTGCGTGTGTGCCCAAGAGCCTGAGAAGAGAATGGAGAAGGGATTGTGGTGTGGTCATTCCCCCTAGGGGGTGATTTCTCACTTTCTGTCTCTGTCTTTCTGGTGAGTGTATGCACCTTATAGCAAAAACTTCTCCAAAAACAAAAACAAAAACAAAACAAAAAAACCAACAACTCCCTCTTGGACCAGCAGGTGGTGTGGTGATAAGGCACTGGACTCACACATGGCCAACCGCAGTTCAAGTCAGACCCAGTGGCTTGAAAAATCAAAGAGAGCATACATGTGTGTGTGCCCAAAATCCCAAGAGGAGAAGGGGTTGCAGCATAGCCATCCATCCCCCCAGGAAAAGTCATTTCTTACTTTTCCTCTCTGTAATTCCCTCTCTCCTCTCCAGAGTGTACTTGTGCCCTGTGACAAAAACAAAAACAAAACCAAAAACAAACAAACAAAAAAAAACACTTCCCCAGGTGGTTCTCCACCTGCTAGTTCAAACACATCACTCTTAAGCCAACAGTTTGGCTCCAAAGGTGCTGTACATGGGGACACAGGAGTGGTGGAGTCGCTGGGCTCTCTGGTACAGGCTGGAGGACAGATGGGAGGGTCAGGCTACAGCCCAGACACTGGGTGGGAAGTTTTGGATCAGTCCATAAGATGGTGCCAGAAAAGACAGGGAGGGTTGGAGAAACACAAGGTAGCGACTGGCCTGCTCAAGTGAGTCCTGGGCAGCAAGAAGAGCTGGTTGTAGAGCCTCAGGACTTTTGAGGACTGATTAATCTTTGGTTCAGAGGTAGGCTACTGTTGGGTCTGCCCTTTTTGTCCTGGGAGTGCAGGTGGAAAAGCCTGTGCAGTCCAGTCACTTCTTGGCCTGTCCAGCTGCTGCCCGACCTCACACTGGTAATTTGTATGGCCAGAGCAACCGTGCCTTGCTCCTGCAGGGCAGCTGCACGGGTCTCCCAGTCCCTCTGCCTGGGTCACGTCCAGTTGACGATGCGGAGTTTCAAATGAAAATAGTATTATTTGATAACGCTTGTATAAAGAGCTATTATACCCTTCATTAATTTAGTCTCTTTTAAATGAAATAAAGATAACCCCCAAAGTAGATATGTACAATACACAATGAGGGCTGTTTCCTTCTGGTCACTGTTGCCCCAAATCCCCACCAGATGGTCAAGCCAAGCAGCTCGCACTTCAGCAAATTAAAGAGCCTCATTAGGACTCGACTTCATGTTCTTAGAAGCTTTAGGCCTTTCTAGGAGGTGATGTTGATTTCTTAAACTTGTATGACAACAGAAGGAATGCATGTGAGTAAAGTGTCCAATGAAATGTGAAACAATCAGTGAATTCTTTGCATATTTTATTTTTCTTTTTTTGATTTCCAACTCACACACATCTGGCATATTTTACATCTTTGCAATAAAACATGGTTACAATAGCTTAAGGAATTTATATATCCAAAATATTTCACCATGATCTCAAGATGAAATGAACTTGTCTTCCAGATGTTCAGTATCCTCCCAATTCTAAGCTACGAACTCAAGATATTGCTTACAGCCTGGTGATGAATAACTTAATCATTACGCTGATTCCCCATAATTTCAGAATTTCATAAATACAAACAACAATGAAGAAGGAATTCAGTGCTAAAACTTACTAATACAAGGTGGATAACAAATAAGTAATCACATCAATAAATAATGATATGTTTCTGGTGCAAAGTGCCAATACAAAGAACCCATTATCTTGTTTTATCTTTTTAAATAAATGACTGCAAGTGAGTGTAAATTCGGAGAAAATTACATTCCTGTAACATGCCTCATAGCCCTACCGACACAATATGTACATCTATGACGATACAGTCACCAAATATACAAAGAAGAAACATGAAGAAAGTGGATATACCCCTGGGTGTATGACTTGATCAGTACCATGTATGGAAAATCATTTGATAGCCATCATTTTATTTCATAAAAGATAAAGCGCCTTAGGCTAAGGGTGTGGCTTCAGGTGAGAATTTCACAAGAACCTAAAAGAAGAACCTCAGTTATTACTGTAATAAAGTTCGACTTGTTAAGTAAAGAAACTAAGCTACTCAAGAACCAAAGTGGGAAAAAGAAAAAAAGTCAGCATCAGATTCTCCCCACAGTGTATACACGCTAAGCCAGCGGGATGACTCTGGACTAGATGTCCGGTGTTGGGGAAGTCATTACTATGGAACTAACGATCATGACTCCTATTTATACAGGAAAAACCAGGACCTCATCCCTAAGCCCCCTTTCTGCTGTGTCTTCAAATTATAAAGGGTAGGGCTGAATTTTCTTTATATAAAATACCAAAAATGGCAAATAATGGCTTAGTATCCAAATGCTTTATGAGCAAAATTTCACTTAGAAGGGATGAATTTAGATTAAAAAGTGCAAACCATATTTTGGTGAAAATGTCAAAAATTACAGATTGAGCCCAAATTCAACCCTTTCATACAAGCTGTGTCCTTGGACAGATCTTTCTGTTTCCTAGTGTGAATGCACCTGTTCCATCAAGACTTCAGGAGTAAGGAACATGCAAGTTGTAACTCCACAATAAAATTAAGAAACGTTTTGTTCTTTATACAAGGTTTTACTTTTACAAAAGTATCCCTTTAAATAAGATGCATCTGATGTACAAAGTATCAAACGTGGTTTTTTTTTTAATTTTTATTTTTTTCCTCAGCTTGAAAAGAGGCTGGAAATGGGATGCAGGTTAGGTTCAAAGCTTCAACTTTGTAACGACTGGACACAAGGTTCCTCAGAATTGTCAAAAGTCTCTTGTGACGCATCCTACAACCTTTTCTCAATAAACAACAATATATGAAATAATTACCAAAACATCTCCTAATTCATATAATTTACATGATATAAGCTTGCTTGACAGCAGCTGGTGTTCGGTTGTGAAAAAACACACAAAGTAAAATGGTTGCTGACTACGGTGTACAGCTATTGCTGGGTGTGATGGGATGTACAAACAGAGGTCGATGGAGGCGAGTCTTTTCCACCAGAGATATTGCCTTTCCATGCAGCACTTGTGCTCTCAGCTTTCCCTTGGCTTTTGGCTCTTCATTTGTCTTCAGTATCTGTTCTGATGCTCATAATGCCACCGATTAAAATCTATATTAAAAGCTACAATGCTACCAGAAGCCATGCCAGTAATCAGGGTCCTGCAAAAGTAGAGACAGTAGTTAAGAATGGCACAAAATCATGTATGTGGCTGCTATTTACACTAGGCGAGACCACCACCGCAAAGTTCACTGAGTGAGGTCTGTGTTCACTGACACAGGATTAAAGTTTCCGAGACCAACAGACGACGTAATGGTTACTGGTTACGGAGCTGGATTCCCACATAGTTGGCTGCTGTTCCAGTTCTGGGTCCGGCCACCTGAACTTAACGCCGGATGTGTGGGTATGTGTGCCCAAGAACCCGAGATGACAACGGAGGTGAAAGGATTGTGGCGTGGCTATCTCCCCTGGGGGGTGATTTCTCACTTTCTGTCTCTCTCTGGCTCTCTGGTGAGTGCACACATCATACAGCAAAAATCTCTCCTGAAAAAAAATAATAATAAAAAACAACAGACGAAGTTAAAAGCAAATTTCCTCTCAGTTCTGCTGAGAGAAGCTGAATCAGTCCTGGGCACATCTGTGTTGCCCATCTCTGCTGGGGAGCATTGGACAACCACGTGGATCCACAGCTTCGAGCCTCTCCTGGGCACCCTGCTTCCTCTTAGCAATCGTCCTTGCGCCTATCCACTGCCTCCTTTTGGACATCGCTTGGCTATTCTGAGGATTTCTGGCTTTTCTTCCTTTCTCTCTGACCTTTATTAGTGTCCTTGAATCACTCCACCCCTTAACGCTCCACACTGTGTCCTTAGACATATCTACAATGGCATCTCCTTCTGAAGTCCCCAGTGTTGATGTCCCATTGTCCAGTGATGTCCCCACCAGCTATGTCACAAAGAGCTCAGCTTCAACCCATCTGCCCTGCATTACCATCTGCCTACGGACCTGGCTAGTCTTCTGTTGGTTAAGTTACCCTTGTCCTCTCTCCCTGATGCCTTCCAGCCCATCCAGCCAGCCCTCCAGCCATGACCCTTCTTTCTCTGGGATGGCTCCTCCCCAACCTCACTGCCCCAAACTGAGCTCAGGCCTCACAGTCTTCAAACAGGCCAAGTGTTACTTAACTTTCAATCAGACACCTCATCGGGTAAATACTTTTTGATTATAATCTGCCAGTTTATAGTTTAAATGGATATGCTACTGTTTTAACACATTGGAGACATCATAAAACAAAAACGATCAAAGGTTTGAGATTAAAATAGAAATACAAACTTGGTTAGCATCTTTCCTCGTTCTTTTTGGAAACTCTAATGCTATTGTAACTTTGACTATCCTCTTAGATCTACCCTCTCTGTCTAAGCCTGGTGAATGGATGAATGTTCAGTAAAGTCTTTGTTGCTCTTCCCAGCCCTCAAGAAGACTTAATTACTTCTTTTTCCTGTTATTCTGTTCCTGCTTCCCTTATACAGTATTATGAATATTCGAGCTCTTTGGGGGTCAGTAACATTGTTATGTACTCTTAGCCCTTTGCGTAGTATTTCACCCATGATGGTGGCTGCAAGTGTTTGCAAAAATGAAGACATGGATGAGTAAGAATATCAGGGAGTGGCCAGCAGGTGGTGTGGTGGTTAAGGTGATGGACTTGCACATGGCCAACCACAGTTCAAGTTCCAGACCTGGTGGCTTGCTTTCTCACTCTCCTTCTCGCTCTCTTTCTCTGGTGAGCACACGTGTTCTAGAGCAAACTTTAAAATAATAATAACAAATAAAATAAATGAAGGATGTGAAAAATATCAGGGAGAATATTTGAACTATTTTAGAACCCAAATTATTTCCAATTCTTTAGAAACCCAATGCATATACAGATGAATAAGAATGCCCTACTTTACAAGTATGGACTGCAGCACTTTAGGACACTAAAAATAACCTTACACTTTCTTTAAAAAACATTCTGGGCTGCAGAACAAACACCTCTTCTGCAGACTAAATTAAATTACACTATTTTTTCTTGATGACTTCACTGCCATTTTACTATATTGTGAAGATACTTTGTTAAATTTTTTACATGTATTAACATTTAAAATATTTGTATTTTTAATTTGCTGTAGGGTACACGGGCTCACAGAAAGAGCCAGAGAGAGAAGGAAAGTGAAAAAGCACTCCGTGGGAGTATGGCCATGTCACAGTCCCTGCTTCTCCATGATCTTCTCAGGATTTGGGGCATGCATGTACAATTGCCTGGTGTGTTTTCCAAACTGCCGAGTCTGGGAATTGAACTGGACACTCAGACATGAGGGATCCAGCTGCCTTCATATCACTATGCTAGTGGCTAGTCCCTATTAAAATATTTCAAAACTGATATTCTTACAGAAGGAATATTACATATAGTTGAAAAAAATCAGCTAACAAGTTTATTTTTGTTAAAAGTATTGCAAAAAAAGAGAAATTACATGCCATATTAAGATTATACAGTTTTAGTTTATTTGCCTTTTTAAATAATTATTTAATTCCATTTGTTATTATTATTATTATTATTTTATTTTAAATTTGACCAGAGAGAGACACAGAGGGAAAGAATGAGAAAGCAAAAAGCAAACTTCCAGGTCTGGGACTTGAACCACAGTCAGCCGTGTGGGATTCCAGTGCCTTTAACCACCATGCCACTTGCCAGACCCCTGTTTTAGTTTATTTTTAAAATTTATAAACTTTAGATTTTATATTCCTAATATTCTTTTCACTCTATAATAAACCCAATGGTGAATTTTAGAAAATAATAAAATCTTGTAGCAAACCAAAGAACAATGAAAAATCATATTAATGTATTAATGTTAATACTCTTTCCAAAAAAGGATTAGAGTATCTTAGGGGAATACATAAATAGAACATAATAACACAAATGAGAGGTGGATCAAAAAAGGGAGGAAAAGACTTTCAGGTAATGAGTGTCTTGAATTTTTAAGAGGGAAGCCAGCTATAGTCTACACTATGCCTATGGGAAATTGGTTAGTTAGAAGTGGGTCTCACACTGAAAGCCCCTCTGCTGAAAAATACATTTGCTTTATATACGTTAGACCCCAGGAGGCCTCTGAGTCTAGGTGAGGAATAGAGAACTGAGAATTTAGTGTGAATTAATTTAGGTCTTGGCCCATAAAAATGTGCCCAGATGTACCTGGTCTTCATCAGATCCCACTTTTCTTTTCTTTTTTCTTTTGTTTTCTTTTCAGTGTCTTCCTTGATTTTCCTTTTGAGTCCTTTGCCATAGAATACTTACTCCTCCCCTCAACTAACTCTTTTCTGTGCTAGTCTCCCTCTGTCTGGATACTGGAATCCTAATCCCGGCATATTCCACCGTGGTGGTCCACAGTGGTCGTTCTATGACAGGTCTCAGGATTACATTGCCCCTGGGCAGCTCACCTCTGGTCGTGGGATAGGTCCATCGCTCTAATGCCAGCATCACATCCGGGATAAATGTACAGCTGCTTGAAGTCACAGGCCTGCCAGACCTCTACCACTCCATTGTCCCCTCCTGTCACCAGGTTCTGCCCATCGCTGCTCAGGAGAATGGCCTTCAGAAAAGGCAGAAAACCAAACAGTTCTCTCATTTTTTTCCCTCAGCAATCGACAGTCACCACTCAAGAGCACCCACTACACTTCCCTTGTAACTATTATCTACATTCCGCCATTGTCCAAATTTTCTGAAGTGCAGTCCATAGAATTTTCAATGTAGAATTCATCAAAGTTTTCACACATACAAAAGAGCTCATTAAAACCAACCTAAATTATACAATTATGGAAGTCCCAAAGAGAACATCCAGGAAGAACTTGATAATTTGGTGACATGATGTTCTGCTAAGTGCAGAATGATAATGATGTCGAGACTTTTAGAACAAAGAGCAGAAGCAAACTTCAAACCAGTTTTAATAATGATAAGCCAGCAATTATAATTTGCTTGTGAATGAAGGGCACTTGGATACATGCAAGTTTAGTTTAGGGATATAAAGATAAGATTCTTTGATATTAAGCTCACTTTTAATGTTGTGAGGGGGCAGCACTGAAACAATTATTTGTAAAAGGAGCTTAAAAAAAGGGTCCGATCTCTAACCAAACAGCAGCTATTATTCCTAAAGTCTAATTCACTAAGTTAATTACTTTGGATTAAATTAACATTGGGTTAGTTCAAAATATCACTCTACATACATTTATATGCATTTTAAACCACTACATATTTATCTACATACTAGAGAAATTCTATATGATCATTCAATGTAAAAACAATTGATCTTTAGTCTTTTGGCCTGGGTTTTATTTCGCACCAAGCATGCAGATTTACCCGTGTTGAATCATTGATCTCCATCTGAGCCAAAAGTTTCCCATTAATGCTGAAATTGCTGAATCGTCCTCGTTCATAGTATATGATACAGTGGCCTTCACTGGAGACGGAAATCAAGCGTGGGAACAAGCAGTTTTCTGGTCCTTCAAGGGCTCTCAGCAAATCTCCAGTGATTGTGTGGACAAGGCAAGGGCCCTCTGCAGAGTGGAGGACATTAATGGCCAGAGTTAGTTCCCACCAACCCCAGAACCTCACTGGGGTATGCACCAGATTTGTGGAAAGAAGCCAGAAAAGGAAAGAGATACATTGGCCGGGGCCAAGCATGGACATTATATTTAACCCAAGCAAATACAGAATAAATGAAAATAATATGCACGTGGAGACCAGCAGTTGACGTAATGACTATGTCGCTGGACTCCCATAGAGTTGGCCATGGTTCAAGTCCAGGACCCAGTGGCTTGAACTTACACCAGGCACGTGTGCGTGTGTGCCCAAGATCCCAAGAGGAGAATGGAGGAGAAGGGGTTGCAGCATGGCCATCCCCCCTAGGGGATGATTTCTTGCTTTCTGGCTCTGTCTCTCTGTCTTTGTCTGTTTTTCTGGCGAGTGCACATGCCCTAGAGCAAAAATATCTCCAAAAAAGAAAATAACACACATGTAACACACACACAGGTACTCCAGCTTCTTTATTGAGGTGAATACTTGGTGTTTTCCTTTGTCAGATAATATTCAGAATAAAAGGCTACAGTTCATAGATTACATGAGAATAAGTCTATGAAATTGTTTCTGAAGCTGATTTTAGAAATTTTTTCCAAGTTTAAGAGATTTATCACAACAGTTACTAGTTTTCCCTACTAGCATAAAATTTTAATATTGCACCACATAAATACATTACTATCAAATACATTTTACCTTTTTCTATAGCCTAGACATAAAGCATAAAAGTAATATTAAGAAAATTAATCAAGTAATTCAGATTACAGAATCATTTTTTTGTCTTTTAATTAAATGAACAGTGAGCCAAGAATGTGAATGTAGTATGGGGAATGACTTATTTTACCCCATTTTTGTTGTCCTTATAGAAATTGTGTTGAGGGGTCAGCAGGTTGCATGGTGGTTGAGGTGCTAGATATCCACATGACTGACCACAGTTCTAGTCCCAGACCTGGCAACTTGCTTTCTCACTTTCCCCTCTCTCTTTCTCTGTGTGTCTCTCTCTGGTCAGATTAAAAAATAAAAATAATAAATAAAATTTAATAAATATTTCTTTAAAAAAGAAATTGTGCTGATAAAAAACATACTACTTAAGCTCATAAAAATAATTGATCAACCCGAGAGGAGAATGGAGGAGAAGAGATTGCGGCATGGCCATCCCCCCTGGGGGGGGGTGTGAAAAAAAATTGATCGATATAGCTTGATGTTGTACATCCAATCATTCTTCCCACCAAAGGAAAAACCCCACAAAAAACATGGATTCATATTTTTATTTTTCATTCAATTCATTTGAATAGACATATTTTACAAAACAAGTGATATCATACGGCTAAGTTTTTTCTGATTACTAAAGTAATATGTGCACTATACAATAGATGAAAAAAGAAAATAATAATCACTTCCATGTTTCACCTGTTACACACAGAAAGTTAATTTTTTCCCCCTATGCCTACCAAGTGTTACTTATTTTCTTTCTTTTATTTTTTAAAAAATAATTTTGCTAGAAGGCATGTGTGCTTGCTGGAAAGAGAGAGGGAAAGTGGGAAAGAATCCCCCCCCCTCCATGGGGAATGGCCATGCCACAATCCCTTGGCCTCCATTTCTCCTTTGAGGATTTTGGGCGAGCATGTACATGGGCCTGTTCTGTTTTTCAAGCTGCTACATCTGGAACTTGAACTGCACAGGTGGCCATGTGGAGTCTAGCCACCTTAGCCACTATGCCATGTGCTAGTCCCTATTTTCCTTTTATTTAACCTTACAGGACAGAATTATATTAGATATATTATTACTTTTCTTGCTTTTTTAAAATTAAAGATATTTATAGAAAATAGTCTATGTGGCTATCTCTGGATTATCAGCTCTTAGATACTAAAATGAAAAAAATAAACATGGTTCCTATATTTGCACTGTATCTGTTATCTATAAAGCAGACAGGAAAAGCTCTAGAAAGCACATTTAATCATTTCATCACAATTTTAAAAACTTCAATGCTTCCCACTGTACCTCTAATAATCTGAAGACTGCAAATCCTTGTGCCCGGGCTGGCCCCACCCACCTCCTCAGCCTTCTCCCTCTTTGACTCTGCTGCACCGTCACTACCCTCCAGCTGGTCTCCTTTCAGTTTTTCCTACGCATCAGGTTCCTTTGTGCCTCAGAACCCTCTGGGGAGGAGGGTAGAAGGGTGGTACATGGGCTAGAATAGAACTCAAGTTTCCTGACTTCCTAAAACAACACTTGCACAAATATCAAGAGAACCAAACAAAATCTTACTTCCTTTCAATCAACCTCTTATAAAAAGAGAGACCAGCAGAGCAAGGTGGATCTGAGGTGGACGACCCATGGTCCTGCGCCTCAGAGATAGTTCACCTTGTCTTATAAACATGCTTTTTAACCGCCACATCATTTGGATGTAACACAATTCAATATACCAGTGCTATGGTTAGAATGCCGGTGGCCACAAACCCTACACATGCATACGTATTTCATATTAGTACTAGTCAATATTAATAATAAAACCAAACAGCTGCAAAGAACCTAGGGATTCCATTTATCTGTGGAGAAATTCATAGAACAAAGAAGTCATAAATCATGCTTAGCTGGAAAAACATAGTACTTTTTTTTAAAAAAAAATCTAAAATGAAAGAAATGATCTCTAACCTTTAGCACCACTGATAACAAGTCCAAGTTCTGCACAGACAGAAACACAGACAACCTCGTGGTCATGGCCGGTGAGGACAGCTCTTGGCGCAGGATAGTCACCTGAAAGAAAAGAGCAGCAGGGAGTCACCACGGACCACCATTTCCAGAGGCAGGCCACCGTTCACTAAGCGCATTTACTAGCCGCGTGACCACGAGCCTGTTCTGCAGCCTCCATCTCCTCCTCTGTGAAATGGGCGTAACCACCACACCTCCTGCACAGGTGGTGACAGAACATCACAAAGGCGGTGACAGCTATTCTTTTTCTCTTGATCATTATTACGAAACAGGCACCAGGCCTGCCAAGGCATTTGTGTGCATTATCTCATTTAATTAAGGTAACATTCACATGAAATAGGTACTCTTGTCATCCCATTTTATATGTAGAAACCCAAGGCTTTGCAAGGTTATTCAATGTCCCAAGTTCATACAGCTAGCAGGTGCTGGAATTGAAAACCCAGAGCTATTTAATATGGAAACCCATGCCCTTATCCATCTAAAAATGATCCCTACAATCTCTGATAAAACAGCCCTCTTGCGGGGGGCTAGAAGGAGGCAGCAGGGTGGGTGTGAAGCAAGCATTAAAGAAAAGGTAAGTATCTTAATTCTTCCCTAGGCATTATTAGTACAAAGAGGGTTAAAAAGTTCAGCTGAATTTGACTTCCTAAACCTCATGCTAAGTGCTCTCATAAACATTGAACACATGTCTTCTAAGTGAGAGTGTTTTTCTAAGTAGGCTAGGATTTGGGAGTAAAGAGATAAAAGGTATAAGCTGAAACTGTTCAAAACACATCAAATGACTATGGCCTTCCACAGGCTTACTGCTTGAGGCGCTCAGCAACAGGGGAGGAGGGACAAGCGCACGTGCGCAGAGCAGGGCAGGAGGAAGACACTGCTACGTGAATGAAGAGAAGATGGGAATACTTGGCAAATCAACTGCATGCATGTAAGACAGTGTGAGAAGGACCTGCAGAGCTGAGAGGACATCATGCCCAACAATTTCTGGACTGGGAAAAGTATGGAGAGAAATCAGGTTAGGAAGGAAATGAGGAATCCCTACAGACTTGGGGTATAGAATGTAGAAGAAAGGGAAAG